TATATATATATATATTATAAATATGTAATACACACGTACGCACGCACGCATACGCAGCCATATACACCGACACACCTATACGCATAAGTACACGTAAATCCAGTGTGCCGGGGTCGGGGATTGGAAACGAGAGAATTGATTGGGCGAGATGAAAAAGTACTCAAAGTTCAAAAGAAGCTAAAGAGAAAAGTTATAATATTATTATTAATTATAATTAGTAAGCGTAAGATTGGCCCTAGGACTATGATCGGTTACGAGGTGTTGCGAGCGTGCGTATATTTCGACGATTTTTACAAACACCGACAATTCGATGTAATTCGTAAAACGCAAAAATATATGACAATATATTCGGTGCGCGCGATCGAAAAGAGGGATTCTCACACTCGCGCGCCCGATCTCGTGCCGTAATGTTAAGAACATTTTGCAATTTTCCTTAACCTGAATGAAAAAATAGATTGTATTGTTGCTGCTGGGAATCAACTCGCGAAAGTCCACTGGAATGCGTACGCCGAAAATGTGTCTAATTGCGAGAGCTGCTCTCTAAATTCTTTGGAGTGGAATCTCTAAAAAGTGAAAATTAAGCCAGCTCTTGAAAGAGAGTGGCTCAATTTTTAAGAGTGACAATTCACTCTGTGAGTCCTATTTTCACGATATATGGTCACCTAAAAGTTACCAAAAAATTCATAAATGAATTTTTATTGATGAATCTCTTGGTAACCTTTAATTTTTTAGGTAATCATATATCGTGAAAACGGACCTAAGTTTTAGATAGTTTCTAATGACAAAATCGTCGAGAATTAGGAAATGATTTAGGAACTGGAAATTATGGGAAGAGAAAAAGTGAAAAGTGTGCACGATGATCGTAATTGCGGGAAAATAATAACGCGACAATAAATGAGGGAAAGACGCCTTGAACATGAGACGACAATTTTCGGATGGTGGCACATATTTTCTTTCCAAAGCAGTTCATTGAATGCATCTCAAGACGAGATGTATCTATGTGATTTATTGTTCCAAAGCGACGCGCGCGATTAAAGAAAAAAAAAAAAAAAAACTTAAAGATGTAAATGAAATTTTTTTCGTGGGAATGTCACGTTCGACCCACGCAGCCTTACTGGGCCTTATTAAAGTATCGTCGTACTATTACAAAATTATTATCAAAGTAAAGCTTAAGTAATGAAACAACAACGGCGAATGTGGTGTGAACAGCGCGATAACGTAATATTGTATTTATTCGATCGGCGATGTAAGGTAAATTACGATGGATGAAAGACAATGTGATTACTGGATCATAGAAAAATTCGTGGTGAAGAAGAGAAAGATGCGAAGGTGCAATCTAACCGCGAAAGAGTTCGGAAGTAGAAAATTAGAATCGAGTTGCCGAATTGTCCATTTCCTCGGTACAATTTTGACTGATCTTATTTTTTTTTCAAATTGTTAGAGCGTGGGTATGCAATAGAGTATGCACGTGCGAGAAAGGATTAATTAAAAAGTGTGTATGTGCGTTGAAAGGAAAAATTACACGAGAAGAACGGTTTTGCTGGAGTATCTAAAAATTCAGCTGAATATATATATATATATACAAATCTGAAAGTAATTTTATTCGACTATCAAAATAATTCAATATAGCACGGAAGCCTTGCAGCAACATTGCTGTAATATTGCTGGAATAATCGGTGCTGTATGGGATTATGTAGAATCTTCAAGCTAGTTCTTGGAATGTCAAAATGTTTGCAGCATTGCTCATCACGCTCGAGTTTTCTATTTAATTATTTTAATCCACAAAATTGTATTCAGATCTACATCTGGCTAAATTTTTAGATACCTCAGCAAAATCGTTCTTCCAATGGATAAATATGACTAGAGACATTCCGCCGTTCAGCTAGAAAAAAAAAGAACTATACTTGCGTCCATGGTACAGTTTACGAATGACTTTAAGCAAGCGTATTTCTAGCACTATTAAGGAACATTTCTTCGAATTCCTCTACTTCTTCATCTTCTACTATTATACTACTATTACTTCTTTTTTCTACTTAATTCCTTTTGAAAGAAAAAAGCTATAAGTGCATACAAGTCTCGATAAAGAAAAAAAAAGCCTTTAACAAGCTCAAGGAGTGCGTTTACGACTATTGTACCGATCGTAATGTATAAAAAGTGAGAAAAAGATAATGACGGTGGTGAAAATGATGATAAAAATAATAACGACAACAATAATATTAGTAATAACAGTAATAATAATATTAGTAATAATGATGGTGGTAATATTAATAATAATAACGGCAACAACAATGATAATAATAATAACAATAATATTAATATTATTAATGATTATAATGGTAATATATAATATTACTACAAATATTACCGATAATAACAAAATAACAACAGCAACAATAATAACAGTACTAATAATACTTATTAATAATTAACAGTTAATACATAACAAAAATAATAATAAGAAGAACAATAATATATTAATAATGCTAATAATAATAATCATAATAGAGTACCGATAATATAATACTGAAGATATTGATAATATTCATATTAATACTTTAATGACACAGAAGGTAATATTAATAATGATATGCTATAAGGTAAACGGAGCGCATCAAGGCTGAGGGTCGACGAAAGTCTATCCTCTTTAATTTAAGAACAAATTCCAAAGGAAGTGAGAGGTATTCGACGCTTTGAGTCACTGACTACGTTTACACGGATACCCTTAATCGGGTTTGATAATATCCGTAGTTAGAAACTGGCCATTCCATTCTTCAGAGGAATCGCTACGATTGGCAAGTTTCATAACTATGGGATATTATTAAAGCCGATTAAGGATGTTCGCGCGTGTAAACGTAATCACTTTGTGATTGTTGGAGACGCTGATCTCGTCGACCGATCCGATGGGCGACGATACGTCACCTTCTCGATCCAGTGGGCATAAATTTAAATACGGGGGGAAAAAAAAGAAAAACAAAAAAAATGAAAAGAAGAAGAAAAAGGAGAAAATCAAATTCATAAATTCCTCTCGTATTATCGTTCCTGACTTTATATAGATTGCTTACGTGTTACTTGCGCGAGAATAATAAACGAAAAGTCACTATCTCAGTATTCGAGTAGATTAACCCAACTAACTAATTAATTAATTAACTTAAAGAAAAAGGAAAAACGGAAAAAAACGTCTTTTTTATCTCTCTCTCTTCCAGTAATTATCCGCTAACTTGGAAGGTGCGATGGTCGCCGCTCTGGATGCGTGCGACGCCGCGGAAAATACACGCGACGCGATTGACACTCTATTGCACTGACTTCCGCGAGAAGGGAAGGATTTTTGAGGAGTTTTATCGAGCTTCGAGAAGATGCGACCTGTGCTGCGATTGCGTTCCGCTCGGCGGAACGAGACTTTCCCACCACGAGGAAACGCCGCGCATTATCAAATATCAACCAGGATATCGGCGCGCGCGCGTGCTATCACACTCATCGGCTTTGGAGATTCCCGATTCTAGACTGACGGAGAGAGACGCGTTTCGGACGAGTTTCTCCCCTCGCAAATCCAATCGACGCTCAAAACGACGTAGGAAAAAAAGAAGAAGAAGAAAAACAATGTTTTACAAGTGTTTGCGAGGAAAGATAATAAACGCGCAATTAGCGAATAAATTCAAGCAAGTGCCCTTGCACTTAAATGCCTTTTAGCGAATTCTCGTTCACGGAGCCTGTGTATCGAGTCGCGCACTTTTGCGTTTAGCGAGTAGTAATAGTGAGTTTCGAGAAGTACTGATATATTTATTAGCGCGCAGGTGGTTATTAGCGTACACGCGTCATGTTCATCTAACGATACAATTTCGTAGTGCAGGTAAAAGTGCCTTATAACGGTCCTCCACGAATACGAAGCGAATTCGTTACGCGAATTTTCTCTGGCCGCTGACCAACGAGCGGATTATTTTTGCGAGTGGATCGTCCGAAATCGGCGCAAAATTTCTCTGCGATTAAAGATAGGAATAACAAGTCTAAATCGGTTTCCCGGAGTCGATCGGAAAGAAAGAAGATTTCGCGTGATAGAGTTAGAAGCGATTTTGAGTACTGGACGAGATGCAAAAGTCGATGGAAAAACGATTGCGCGTGCGTATGTGTATGTGTGTTTTGTGTGCGTGTGCGTGATAAAAAAAAAATAGAGAGAGATAGATGATAGTGAAGGGAAAGGAAAGAGAGAATGCGAAAGAAGTTTATTGTGTGTCCTGCAATATAAATCTAAAAAAACGCAATCGGAAATTCTACACACACCCTGTAATATATATATATTCCGATATAATTATACAAGTATAATAATTTAAAATAATCCTTGCAGTTATACATAATAAGTTTCGAAAATAAGCACTTTGTCTTGAAATTTGGAAAATCTAGTTAATTGGAAGAAAATCGCCATTTGCTCGAAATTGTAGACTCTAAAAAGTATAAAGATATAAAAAAAATATTTCTTTTAAATTGCTACATTCAATAATTCAAAGCATGGTTTTAGTTTCAAAAATCTAATCGCAATAATTATACATGTATTATTTAATAAATATACGGCTAGACTTGTGATTCTCTAAGAGTCGAGTACGCGAGATACTTAATTGTATATAACTTTAGTTTATGAAAAAAGAAGGGAGATAATGGGAGAGGAAAGAGAGAGAGAGAGAGAGAGAGAGAGAGAGAGAGAGAGAGAGCGAGCGAGAGAAATGGAGCGAAAGAGGAAGCGAAATGTAATGACGATTATCCCGCTAGGATAAACAACGTCGAAAGTGAGTGATACCAAAAGAAAAATCACGTTCTCTCATCTTCTCGAGTTCTCAGTTTTCGGCACGGCGTCAGCCGGGGAGAAAAAAAAAGCAAAAAGAGAGAAACAAAAAATGTATGTCGGTAATTTTTTCGCGTTCGGCGAAGATTCCTTCTTTCTTCCCGTCGCATTTGCTGCAGGGTCAACGCGTCCGTTGCGAGATATTAATTATATATTTCAAAGATGGATGCAATTCCGAAATAAAAACCCCTTAAATATGTCAAATGGTTGCAAGTTATTTTCTATAGAAAAAAATACTGCCTGATTCCTTTCAAATGATATCCTTCTTCTCAATAAGTTTTCACTAATCTAATTTTTTATTTTATATCAGAAACAGAGAGAGAGAGAGAGAGAGAGAGAGAGAGAGAGAGAGTGTCATCAGAAACGTAAGTACCTTTAAAACTTTTAGAGAAAATCTCATTCTAAATTCTTATTCTCAAAAAATGAAAATTGAGCCATTCTTTTTCGAGACAGGCTTATTTTTGCACTCTGTAGAAAAAAATTTAAAGTAAATTTATTCTTCAATTCGTTTCAAAAGTCATTGCATTATGACTTTTTCTTAATTGAAATATATATTATAATTTAAACATACTGATTTTTAATTTAAGAATGGAAATCAATTCTTGCAAAATTATTTTGCTTTCGTATTTAATTATTATTGACGATATCTGTCGCAAACTAGTCTTGCTCAGATAGATACATAATTACTAGTTGGAAATGGTAAAATTTCAGCTTTTAAACAAAGCCAAGATAGTTTTGCTGCGATTTCCTCAAGATTTTTTTCGAAATATATTGACAATTTTATCAACAATTTAATCGATATGGTGCAAAGTCGAACACGTGCATTTCTCGACGGCGACATTTTTTCACACATGTTTTTTTACTTAAAATTTTACGCACTTGTCAAGTTACATGTAAAAAATACACTGGATTTTTTAAACGCAGTAAACCTCACGAAAAATCGACGTAAAGAGACGAAAATTGATCTGCGTTTCTAATTAAAATTAAAATAAAAAATATTTTAAGACTCACCAAGCGATAAGTAACAACGATGTATCTTTCAGGTACCCTCCTTCTGCTCTTCCTCTTCCTTCTGCTACTATTGGCTATTCTGCTTCCTCATCTTTATTTTTTAATGTCTCACACAATATCACTCAATCCGCTAAACCGGCACCACAAAAGCGCGACTTCTCACAACAAGTTTCTTACGCATATGACGCATAAATTATCAATTATCACATCGCGAAAACAGGAGGACTCTTACAAAACAAAAGAACCGCACAAAATTTATAATCCAGTCAATATTTGCGAGTTCCTAATTAACGAAGAAGTTCAAATAATCAATTTCGAAGATAAAAGGGGTTCCGAAAGAGAGAAACGTCGAGGTTGCGCGTTTGATGACATATAAAGTTTGTTCGCATTGCTTGAAATTCCCAAAAGTTGCACTTGAGATAAATACATATAAGTACATATTTGGGCATTAAACAGAGACAGACACAGAGAGAGAGAGAGAGAGAGAGAGAGAGAGAGAGAGAGAAGGAAAGAGAGAAAACGAAGATTCCGAGTGCTAAAAGTACAAGCGATGCGAACAAATTTTGTGCTCGTCAACTATGCCGAAATATTAACAACGAAAAGCTATCGTTAATATGATAATCAATTGCAGAAAGTAATGAATCGCGCAATACGCGATAGCTGATCATCCGCTAATCTAATTACTGACAATTGCGGATCGGCATCTCTCAACACCTATCACGGTCGCGTTTCGAAGAGTAATAATACGCAGTAATACGATGACATCGCCGCACCGCGCCGATCCCGCGCGAACGACACACAGCTCGGATAAACAAAACACGCCGTGCGTCGTAAGAAAACAATGAGCGTTAACTGTCGCTCGTGAAATATTTGCGGGATCGATGACGTATAGAAACGTAGTGAAGTAAATCGATCCAGTCACATCTAAGATTTTGAACCGCTTTGCGTTTTTGACTACCTATCTTCAACTGCGATTGACCGATTCGCTTATTACCACTCGAATCTTGCATTTTTTTCAAAAATAAAATGCGCCATTTGAAATATTCCGTTTCTCGTATTATTTGACAAACGTACCTCACTTCACGCTTCTCGATACAAACATGAACGAACTGTAACGAAAATTACGAGAAGCTCGAGATGCAATTATGAGAGGTATTCGAATGAAAGTAATATTCGATAGAAAAATCATTATAAAATAATGCGGAAGTACAACGATAAGTTATTACTTGCAAGCCATTTTTTCCTCTGTTTTTGATATTTCGATTCGGTGATTATCTCTGATTCGAGTGAAACGCTTATCTTTCAATAAGGACGAGAAGATTCGACGATCCGATTCGACTGTAGGAGCTGTCGATTTGCTGAAGTTGAATATACAATCCTCAATTAATTATCCGTATAGAATCACGATTCAAGTACTTGTCGCGATCGAGAAATAATACGAAGTTACGCGGAGCGCTTCGCCGCGCTGCTTACCAACTCGAGGTTTCGCGCACGAATGACGACGAATGATGACGCGGTAAACATGGCGTCCCGTACGGCGGGAAAACAAACGCCAAGGTTAACCGAACCTTTGTTTCTTAATTTTCCCTTCTTTTTCTTCGTCGCTCCAAAATATTCAACCCTTTGTAAAAATATCCTGCATATTTTGTCCTATATTCCTATATATAGATGAATGATTATTATCGAATACTTTTTGTGTCTACTTTACTTCGAACATCTCTCGATTTTTGTAAATTTTAAGCACATATAATTTTAAATATATTAAAACTTATTCGAATTTGAATTAGAATTTAAATAACTATATCCTTGTTAAAATCACTTTCTATTCAACGAAATGAAGTTTAATTAAAGGTTTAAAATTTGATTAAACTTCATTTTGTTGAATAGAAAGTGATTTTAACAAGGATATAGTTATTTAAACTCTAATTCAAATTCGAATAAGTTTTAATATATTTAAAATTGTGTGTGCTTAAAATTTACAAAAATCGAGGGAATAAAACATGACTATGAATTTGAATGCATAATTCCATTATCGGACAGTTTTATCATTTTATAACTTGATTAATTATGCAATACCGGCAATTACATTTTACTTTATTAAATTTTTTTTACTTTAATTAAGAATATATTAATAACTCTTTTTTATTAGTATAAACGATGAGTTCTTCATGTTCTACGCATTTCTTTTCTTTAAAGTACTAGAAGCACACGATTAAATAATAATCCATATTTTTTTATTTATTTTTTAAATACACAACTTTACAAATATTTTCTAAAGACGTCAAAGTATATACAAGAATAATTACTTAATAATTTTTGTATATTTGTAAAATGATGAAAATTAAATCCAGACATGAATGACTCATCGTATGTGATAAAAGACAATAAATCATATTAAAGAGTTAAAATATACACGTATACGAAATATTTAAATTTTACGAGATGCCAGAACACTCTTCTCTGCTCGAAAAAAATCTGATATGGATATTTGCATGTTGCGGTATATTTAGTATAAAATAAAAGGAAATCTTCTCAGTGTTTATTCTCTTTCTTACAGCGAATAAATCGCATCTTACAAACATACTATCGACATTTAACATTTTACATTTGTCCATTTACAGAGATGTAAAGTATAAGATATGTACACGCTCCACATCTCGCGCATAATGAATTTCTCTATACAGCTTTCTCTCTCATTCCTCGCTTAGTAATATTGCATTGCAAAAAAGAAACGTGCTCTTTATTGAGCATGATCAACGATTTTTCACTCCAAGCAGATCAAGCTTTTTCCTCTTGGCGTTCGTTTTCGATGTCAGAGCTGGCAATACACTGCCCTTCGATTCAGGAATCAGAAGCCCTTTGTGCTCCAGCCGTCGAATATATGTGATGTTTGGTATTACCGAGACGGGTCCGAAGTAACGCAATTCGCGCGGTCGATTTATTTGCAGCTTACTCGCGGCATTCGTATTAACACGACGATCTTCTGGCGAATTTTCGCTTTCCATAGCTTCAGATTCCGTATTGTTATTCCGTCTCTCTTTGATCAACGTCATTTGCCATCTAAAAAGCGAAATTTAATTTATATTATTATTTAAATATTTAAATTATATTATTAAAATAAATGCAAGTTTGCAAGTTTGCAAGTTTATTTGTAATAAAAAGAAAAACATAAAATCTAAATATGAAAAGAATATATATCAAAGAAATCATAACTTTACAGTTTTATGTATTCTGAAGTTCTGTTAGAGCTTTTACAATATTTAATGACAATACGTTTTATATATGTATATATAGATAACAAATAGTAACTTTTATTTATATTAATAGTGAAAAATAAGTTATTAATACCGTTAAAAATATTTCCTTAGAAATATACATATATATATATGTGTGTGTGGTGTGTATTTCTAATGAAATATTTTTAATGGAATTAATAATTTATTTGTCACTATTAATATAAATAAAAGTTACTATTTGTTATGTATAAACTATAATCAACATTTCCAGTTAAATTAATTAATAAATCATTAAGTCAACCTTCCGATGCTGCTATGACAGATCCTGGAAGACGATTCCGCCCTCTTGTTTCCGAGCAAATTTGTCGCGGATTCTTTGGCGACAAGTTGCTGCAACTCGCTGAGAAACCTGTCAGCAAAATTATCCTGCGAAAAGAAAGGATGCTGCAGCAACGTAAGGCACTTCGGTCTGACAGTAGGATCTGTACGAAGACACTGTGTCAAAAAATCGATCGCCGCCGAGCTCCATGTTGGAAAGAGATTTCGAAGACTCGTGGGTCGTGTTAAACCAACAGTCTCATCAGGTTTTGTGTGCCGGAGTATACGTTTGTCACTACCATTCGTCGATTTGTAAAGAGGACCTGTTTTAATATATTGCTAGATACAATTCTCGGAAAGAAGCGTTTGGTATTTGTAACTATAATTGCATGGTAAAGTAATTGGGATTAGGTGCTCCATTTTTATAGTTATTTAATAATTTAACCATATATGTATAATTCTTTCAAACATAAAAAAAACTGTATGATTATATGACTAAAAATAACTCAAATTGGATATTATTTAACATTATACGAATTTAACAGTAAATAAGCAATTCGCACTTAATACTAAATTACGACATACTAAATTAAATAAAGCAAATTTAGAAATTAATCAAGTTACAATAGTTTTGCCAAAAAAATTGTGCATGAATAATATATTTTAAAATTAAGTATCTACTATTGAAATTGTAAGTCCAACAACAAGGTAAAGATTGTAAAGATCCGTTATCATTTAGAAAAATTTCAAACCTACAAAACGCCTATCTTTTTTTTATATTCTCCAATATTTATATTATTGTAAGAAATAAAAATATGAGAGAATCTTTAAAATTAATGAATTATTTTATCAATTCTTCAGTTATCTGACAAGATTCATCATCCATTCTCTTCAACTCACCGAGGATCTTTATGATGCGATACAGCTGGTCGATGTCACTGTCGCCGGGAAAGAGAGGCTGGCCGGTGACCATCTCGGCATAGATGCACCCGGCCGCCCAGACGTCGATCTCTCTACCGTACTTGGAATCACCGATGAGAAGTTCTGGCGCGCGATACCATCTCGTCGCCACGTAATCGGTACAGGACTCGTTGGTGATGTACCGTGCGAAACCAAAGTCGCAAAGCTTAATCACGCCATTCGGTGATACGAGCACATTCTCGGGCTTTACATCACGATGCATGATCTGTCGAAAGAAAAACCTTCTATCTCATTAAAATCAGACGAATAAAAAGAAAACGTTATAATTAAACCTTTGCGAGTCTGATAGAATATATTAACGAACGCTTCTTGCAAAAGTGGCTGAAGAAATCTTTAAATTTCTAAAAGCAGAAGAGTCAAAATAGGATGAACTGTTTGTGGAAAAAGGTCAAGCTAATTACATGATAAGATGCAGATTGCACCCCGTTTTGTAGAATCCTCATTTAAAATCTAATTGCAAACGGGGAAATGCGTAATGTTTTCTGTTAACGCTAGAACTTTCCGAGTCGAGCTCGACTAAATGCGGCAACCATTGCCCTCGTTTGTTACAATGCTATCATTCATTAAGTATCCGACTCCTTCGCGTGTTACTACACATGCACGGTTTACTGCAACTTGGAATTTAAGCGTCACGGCCGTGAACTTTAGCGTAACGGAGGTGGTACTTATTGCCAAAGGTTGCTGATAAACGGAAATACATCATCATGCGCTCAGATACATAGTTTGCATCTTTCAAATGCATAAATTAATCAAACTTTTAGCTCAAAATATAATCTGAATATTATAATAACCACTTTTTAAGGAGTTGACGTAACTTTTTAAAAAATTAAATTATATGAGAATATCATAATATATGTAATATATACCAAATTTACGT